AAAAAAAATAGATACCTTCAATATCTTTATCTTCCGTGTCTCCTTGCAGGATAGACATTTTAAGCCGAAGAAATTCTCAGGCCCCAGATCGGAAAACAGGCTCTACGATCTTAAACAAACACCTCATAACACGAAACAGAGACGATTCTTCTTACATGGGCTCGATTCTTCTTACATGGGCTGTTATGTCCGTCGAACAATGGGGAAATTAAGATAAATTCAATCATTGGGACATCACCAATCACTTTGTCAGAACCAGAGATTATAGAGATGCCAACTTGCCAAGAATCGATTAGATTCATGCAAACCTAACAATGAAGACGGTCGGGTCAGGACGATTGAGTGAAAATGGATTAAACTAACTGATCTGTCTGATTATGGCTATGAATTTCTTCTGGAGAAACAACTGAAGAACGAATTTATAGTTTTCGATTTGTTGAATGTGGTCGGAATCTGGAAGAAAACAAAAGTCAAGAATGTGGATAACATTGATCAACTAGCGAATTTGGGCGAAAAGCTTTTTCATTCTCCGGCTGCTTCCTTTTTAATGTATTTTCCTTTTTAGTGGTTGTGAATCCGTCTGTAAGAATGTGCTTTCACTGGAGCGCGTGTCATTCACGTTTTTAATATATATATTTTTTTTGCAAGTTATTAAATTATAATAATAAATTAACTAATACAATTTTGCTAAGGAACCAGATTGTTGGTTTCCGTATGGAACCAATCACCAATGGAACAGCTCCACATAGGGCTGTCCCACATGACTTTCATGTGGAACAGCCCCATGTGTAGCTGTCTCATTGGTGGTTGATTTCATAAGAAAACCAACCATCTGGTTTTATAAAAAAACTGTTAACTAATATTCATCAAAATCAAGTAAAAATTGAACCGCGTAATGTTGTCTCGTTCAGTATGACTATTAATATAATGTTTAAGACATACTCGTTGCTTTTTTACTTGAATCAATTTGACACTACGAGGTAGGATCTAGTTGACCTGAAGTCATATCAAAACTGGTTGGGTTGGGTCCTTCGGGCGGTCAAATATTGTCAAAACCCAGTCAATATTTGGTCAACTTATGAATTGGCTCGACAGAGTCAGTCCAGGTAACCCATTTTTTTTAAATATGTTTTATTATAGAAACACTACGATGTATATTTATATGGTAAGTATTTATGAATTTTCAATTTATAAAATTTGTCTATGAATTATTTAGTTTTATTATTTTTGTCGGTGACTGAAACCCGTCCCTTATTACTAAGTAAATTCACAAAGGAAAAATATCTCTTATATATAATTTTCGAACGTGCTGAGCCTAAGTGGCAGACTGTCATGTTTCAGGATCATATGTGACAAAATTATATATTTCATTATTTGGCTTTGATTGATATTAATTTACTTTTAAATAAAAAATAATTATGTTCAGACTATCCATATCTATGTTGATTGTTTTTATGGTCACCTTAGATGTATTAATTGTATTTTAATATCATTTCATATCATAACCAATGAAAGGTAAATATATTTTAAGAGTTAGTGACATATATCAAATTAATCATCTCTTAATGAACTTCATTTTTGACATCCATATTGTATGTATTAAATAAATGAATTATATTTATCTTTATAATAACATTATTTATTGATATTAATTATAATATAAAATTATTTATCAATTAATATATTTATATTTAGAATAATTATATGGCATAAATTAGAAAAATATTACAATATAACACATGTAAGTCGCGCGAGTAACAACTGTCATATCTAAAAGATATAATAATATATATATTTTTAGTAAAAAAAAATTTAAATTATAAAAATACTTTTTCATGGATTTTAAAACTTAAAAGCTTAATTTTTTTAAAAACACCCGTGCAACACACGAGTGTTTTGTACTGGTAATATTATTTTTATTACTAATTGTTTTGAAATTATTGCCTTGGAAAGCCTTTATTCAAGGCTCAATCCTCAATTCCACTTTATCCTTGTTTGTCAAACTTCATCCTCCTATTTTGGCTGAAAAAAAAAAATAAAAAAAATAAAAATCGAGCAGCTTACCAAATTTTACAGATAGATCAATGGCGGCAACAACGTTGGCGGCTCAGATTCCACGATTTCACTGTTCGATTTCAGCACACAATCCGTTTATGCTGAACACCGGATTTCATGTCCCCCACAAAACGACGCCGTCTAAGAGAGTATCAACAGTCCGAGCTTCTTCGGACCCCCAAAGACAAGGTGCCGATGCAGCCAATGACAAAGCACCATTTGTTTCTCAGGTCAGCCAAACCCAGATTTTTTTTCCCTTATTTTTTTTTTTTCCGAATTTCAAGCTATTTTCATCTGTGGATCTAACTAATAATGGATTATTTCTATCTGATAATAATGAAATTAAGGATAATCTTTAAAATTAAGCTTAAACTTTTAAGTGGGCAGTCATAGTTTTCTAAAGTAACTGGGATTTTCCTTTTGTATTTTACCTAAAGTCTATCATCAATTGTTCTTAGCTTGTGCATAATTACATATGGTGATAAAATGTTATAGATTTTTGCTAGACATTTTTAATCTGAAGTTCAGAAAAATGTGCATACTTTGTTAATTACATGTTTTCATGCCTTTTTAAGGTAACATAATATAGATATGCATGAATCACATTATAACCTTTCACAATACGATGAATCTGTACCTTTATTTTAAAAGTATGACGTATCAATCTGTCTAATAATTTTGCCAGATTGATTTACCCAATCACGTGTTGGCAAGACATGTATTGTTTGTATTGTTGATCTTGATGATAACAAATTTAATGATAAAAGTAACAGATGCTAGTCATGTGTATTTTCGGCAAATCAATTTGTAATTCGTAAACCGTAATTCCAATGTGGGATGACTCTACTCACATATGCCAACTGGTTATTGGGATCGAAACGCAAATGATGTTATCAAGTGTATTTGTAATTTTTAAAACGTAATTCCAATGCGGGATGACTCTACTCACTTATGCCAACTGAACTGGTTATTGGGATCGAAAAATGCAAATGATGTTATAAAGTGTATTTGTAATTTGTAAAACGTAATTCCAATGTGGGATGACTCTACTCACATATGCCAATTGGTTATTGGGATTGAAATGAAAATGATGTTAATATCAAGTGTGTGTATTTTTGACAGGATGACTTGAAGTATTTGGTTATGTTAGGGGGAGGGTCGTTTGCAGGCGCAGCTGCTATAAAGTATGGGAGCATTATATTTCCAGAAATCACAAGGCCAAATCTCGGGCTTGCTCTGTTTATGGTTTTAGCTCCCGTCGTTATTGCTGTCTTGCTATTGATCAAGCAAAGTCGTGTCGATCGAGAGACTGTTCAAAAAAAGTAGAGAACTTTTTGTAGTCTTAAATATTATAAATGGTATGGTATGTAGGAGGATTTCTTTGCAGGCATAGTTTTGGTTGCGACTCGCGAGTCGAATCTCATTTTCATTTTTTTTCTCATGTTTCTGAAATTTTGATGTTGCTCAAAGTCGAGTTCTCTTGCTAACACCACAGAAAAGTCAGTTTTCCCATTTTAACACAACTTTCCACCGCCTCTCAAAGAAAAACAGAGTCCCTCTCTCTAAATACCCTCTTCAGCGAATCTCAACCGGGCATAATTTGAGCGGCCCCCCCTCTTCTCGCTTGGCCATCATCACGCAACTACCGGCATCCAGCCTCGGACCGAGCCGATGGTGTCCGTCTTGCCTTTCCCTCGTCACATTTGGGTTCGGCTGAACCCCCCATTTGGTTGGTGAAGGTGTCGGCTCCTACGGCGAGGCTTGTCGGATCAACTCCCAAGGCGTTCATTTACCTCTTGATTGAAGACTTCGGGAGCTCAGATTTGGGATGAGACTTGTCTCTTTGCCAGAACTGACTAGCCACTTGAGTAAGTTGAAGTTTTTAGTTCTGGGGCTTTGATCTGCATTTCTCTTTTTTTGTTGTTGATTGTGGAGTTTGACTCGTTGCGGGAATTGACTCGTGCGCTGTGGTTGTAGCGGGCAATTTTTTTGTTGTTGATTGTGGAGTTTGACTCGTTGCGGGAATTGACTCGTGCGCTGTGGTTGTAGCGGTGTGCCCGCGAGATGTAAGAGAGGTAGTATTCTGTTGCTAGTTTTGGTGTGTGTTATTTTGTTTTGTTGTATGTTTGTGTCTATGGGTGTGTTATTATCCTATGTAGGAGTTTTCATTCTCCACTAGTGGGAATTTTATTCTTGTGTTTTAGTTTGGGTTTGTGGCTCTAAGATGCCTGTGAGCAGTTTACTCCGTCCGGGTAGTCCTCCGCTAGCTTCAACTTATTAGTAGTTGATTGATTCAATTGTTTGGATAGTCCTCCGCTAGCTTCAACTTATTAGTAGTTGATTGATTCAATTGTTTGGATGTACTAGTGTGTAAAAATTTGTGTTTATTAATCATATTTTGTCGTTTTGAAAAAAAAAAAAAAACACAAATTCCCACCTGTTGTAATAAAACAGTTTAAATTAATGAACGTCCCAAACATAGAATATGTAAATTGATTAAATGAATAGATAGAATATCAAAAGTAAAAAGAAGGGATAGTTAAGATATCAAATCAGTATTTTTTCCCATTCATTAACCAGTGCTACTAGCGTGTGCCTTGACACACCTTGCTAGGTGTGCCAAGACAGTTTAAAATGAACATGTTACTTTATAAAATGAACATGTGTAAACATGTTTACACACGTTCATTTTACTTTGTTTACACACGTTCATTTTATAAAGTAACACGTTCATTTTAAAAAAGTCTTGGTATACCTTGCTAGGTGTGTCAGGGCACACCTAAGTATTTGCGGTCATCAACAAGCTCAACGGTTTTATTATGAAGTCAATTTTCTATATATAACAAGTAAACCTACAATATTCTCTGATTATTTATTATTTAAACAACATTAATATAATTTTATTAATATGATAAATTTATTTGTTGTATATAGAAGATCGACTTCACCATAGAGCCAACTGTTGGCTCCGTAGCCAAACCGACAAATTCAAAATCTGATCGAATTTCCACTCAATCTAATTTTTGCTCACCAAAATTGACTAACATACTTAGGTACCAAAATTATTTAAGCTAAAATATGGAGTACAAAAGAGAAAAACACCTATAATTTGGGCACCACAAAATAAATTTTCCCGCGATATAACACATCCAATTCCGTCCAAATTCCTATTTAGCCATGTATCAGAAAGCTGCAACAGAACGAAACCCTTCCCCGTAACCAATCTGCTTCAAATCGAGCCTCCCTAGAAAGCGACAATGGAGGACATGGCGGTGTTCAGACGCAAGCGCAAAAGCAAACTCAAGTTCCCATCAAAATCCGAGTCGGATCGCGAGGCTTCACCGACTAAACGTGAACGAAGGTATTTAACACTTTTAATTCATGTTTAGTAGTACGCTAGGGTTTGATTGCTGTTTAATTGGATTCAACATTCTGCAAAAATTAGGAAAACGAAACTCCGGTTGGAGAATCGATCGTCTTCAGAGGGAGTGCGAGCGAAGAAGCATGACCGGAGAATTTCTAGGTAAAAATCCAATCTCAGCATTGTTTATTTGCAATTATGAAAATCATGCTGATTTATATGTATGTAATATTTGTTTTGGCTATTGTATTGCATGCACATTCAACCATTCAACCTTGTGATTTGCCTTAGCACTTCATTTTTTTTGGGGCATTTTGGTCGGAGAAATTTACCGATTATGCTTCGGGTCACTCAATAAATTTCCATCTTCATGAGTTATAAAAATGCCGAATGTGTGTTTTCGTACATGCTTGGATAATGAGTATCTATGTATCTTCTGCTGAAGGTGGATCTTCTCTTGTAAATAGATTTCTCCTTTCAATTTTTTCCTATAACCATAGTTATATATAGCATGTGTGAACTGTTTGGTTTTAGTCAATTAAAAACAAAATTTGTGATAAGGGTTCTAAAAACAAAAGAACACTGAACCCCAAGTTAGTGAACACGGAGTTATAAAAGGAAGGTAGCTCGTTGGAGGACTTAGACAGATGGGGTCTATATCTTACTGGGTTTCGGTTTATATGGTACTCTTGTTCTGTTTCCCTAAACCAATGAGATATTTTTTTATTTTTTTGTTTTTGCATTCGAGTTTTTAATGTAAATGCCTAAATTGGTGCATGGATGCAGCATTCTGGATGTAGGATGAAGTGGAATTAAAGGAACATGGTATCACACACCTATACAAAGTTATAGATCACCATATGGCTATTAAATGTTTGTGCATGGAGTCTAATATGTGAGTGTTGACATTCTTACAAGGGAATTTTTTATGACTACAAAGGATAAGCAGATATTCCGGTATGTTGTTTGATTTTACTGCATTGGTTCTAAAATATGTAATGTGGAAAAGAAAACAGATTCTAGTTTAGTGAAAAAGACGGAAATTAAAATGTTACGGTGAGCTGGATATCAAGGAAAGCAGTTTTTTCCATAGAGAGATCCTTTTATTTTTCAAACGGAAACATATCCAATTGCAGCCTTAGTAGGTTTGCATTTCTCCTCAGCGTGGTTTCAGATCTTAACCATTTTCTAGCTTAACTCATACATGATCATTATTTCTTCAAGCTTGAAGTTCCCTTTTTGGAAAGGAAGTTTGGTTGGGGTTATACCCAATTGAAGAAATGCATGCTTATGACAATCAATTTGGCCATCGGGATAGGATTTCATGTGATTGAAATACTGTTGGGAGTAAGATGTGTCACATTCAGAACACAAATGTATCGTACTATAAGTGATGGGTGGATTAGATTAGCATTCTCTCTCTGCGCGTTTACTCTTACACACACACACATGCACGCGCGTTTGTTCACGCACGCACACTCATCCACCCAAAAAAAATAAGAAAGTACACCCATACACACGAAATTGTATGTATTCCAAATACTTTTCATTAATATATGTGTTAGTTTCATCTTTGTTTTAATATTTTAATTTCCTTTTGAAAAAGGAAAAGGAAAATGAAAATGAAACTGCGACGGCCTGAGGGGTACAAAGAGATGGTTAATCGCAAAATATCAAGGTAATTTGTTTTGCTGTGCTTCATATTTTTTTGGAGTTTTACTTTTTTGTCACAAGGCTACACGAGCCAAAAACGAATGCGCAGTATCATATTCTTTGTTCTTATGGCTAGGAATTCACTCTTTTTATGTTGTTTTTTTTTTCTTTTT